TTTTGTATGCCAAATTATTACTTAGGATGAGTTGCTAGAAATGAAATTCTTGGATCAAGGGTATGTAATTTTGAATGCTTTTTTTCCCTTTTCTTTCTTTTTTTTATGCATTTTGTCAAAGGGCACATGCACTCATTGGAGAGAGACAGAGTGAGGAAGCACCCCATGAGAGGTGGTCATGCCACAATTTCTTCTCCATTTTTCCTTTCAGTATTTTGGGCATGCATGTACACATCTACAGTGTGGTTTTTAGGCCTCTGGGTCTGGGACTCCAACTGTACAGTTGATCATGTGGGATCCAGTCACCTTAACCACCATGCCCTGGGTTGGCTTTTGAATGCTTTTTAAGCATTTCTAAATTACTCTTCAGAAAATTTTATACTCTCTAGTTATAAATACCAAGGGTCTTCAAAAAGCTTCTTGAAAATGCACGTTATGAAAAACTGCATCTGGATTTCAAAAATGTTTGCAGTATGGAGCGAGTAGTTGGCATGGTAGATAAGGCATTGGACTCCCACATGGCTGGCTGTAGTTCAGACCTGGACCTGGTAACTTAAAAATCACACCAGATGCATATGCATACATGCCTAAAGTCCTGAGAGGAGAATGGAGGGGAAGGGATTGTGGTATGGCCATCCTCCAGAAGTATGATGCTTTACCTCTCTCTGTCTCTCTCCAGTGAGTGCATGTACCCTGTGATAAAAACGTTAACAAAAACATTTTTTTTAACACTACAATAAACTTGTAACTGTATTTCCCTTGAACTTTTTGAAGTTCCTTTATATAAGCATTATTGTCTCTGAACACATACTAATGCTGGATGACAGGTTTTTTTAAAATTTGTCAGTTTGATAAACAACAGATGATCCATTTTTATTTAAAATAATTGGATTGCTAGGTTAGTTGCACATATTTTCATATTTAATTGTCGTTTTAAAGTTCTTCGTGGGCCAGCAGGTGGTTGTGGTGGTTAAGGCATTGGATTCCCACATGGCCAACCACAGTTGTCCAAACCCAATGTCTTGAAAATCATGCCTGGCACGTGTGCATGCATGCTCAAAATCCTGAGAAGAGGATGGAGAAGGGGTTACGGTATGGCCATCCTCCCTAGAGGCTAATTTCCCACTTTCCCTTTCTCTGTCTCTCTCCTCTAAGCAGGCACTCCCTATGGCAAAAACCTAAAAAAAAAAAGTTGTTTGCTATTAATTACCTATGAATATTCTTTACCCATTTTCTTTTGGAATATATGCTTTTTATCTCATTCCTTTATGTATTCAAAAAGTAGTAATCACACACCTTTTACATACTGTTTGGTCATCAGAAAAATCATGGTGTATTTTTCTGTTTTTCTATGCAAAAATGTGTCATGACTTTTCTGAGGACCCAAGAGAACCAGACACTGTTCTAGGTAAACAAAATAGATAAAAAGTCCCTGTAATTAAGGAGCTTATTTAAATAAAGGGCTGGTCCCTTGGCTGAGTGGATAAGGGAGCTGGATCTCGAGGTTTGAATCCTGGCCTTGGCAGCTTGAGAAACCAAGCATGAGTGGGTGTGTGTGTGCGTGCGCATGTGCTCAAAATCTCTACAAGATGGGGAAATGGAGGTGAAGGGATTATAGTATGACTATGGAATGTTCTTTTCCTTCCCCTCTCTCTGTCTCTCTGGCAAGTGCCCGTGCCCTCTGGCTTATAAACAACAAAAAGGAAAATAAATAAAATAGAACATGGCAAGTGATAATAAGGAGTGTAGATAACTTTAGTGGGTGACAGAGAGGTGCTATGTTATAAAGATGGTTGGGAAGGCCACTGATATTCAAATGGAGACCTGGAGAAGATGAAAGCACACGTTCTGTGAATATCTAGGAAGAGCATTAAAGGCAGAGGGAACATGTACAAAGACCCTGAGACAGGACTGTGTTTCACATGTGAATGTAATTTGGTTTGCCATGGGGAGAGTTAGGAGGTGAGTTTGAGAGGAGAGGTAGCAAGGAGTGGGGCTGGTATAGAACCATGCGGGACCATAGAACCAGGGTAAGGAATCTGGACTTCATTCTGAGAGAGATAAAGAGCTATCAGAGCAATTTTTTTTTCTAAATAATTATTTTGAATTTTATTTATTCATTTACATATTTTATTTTGACCAGAGAGAGACACAGAGAGAAAAAGAAAGTGAGAAAGCAAGTCACCAGGTCCAGGACTTGAACCATGGTCAGCCATGTGGGAATGTCCAGCACCTTAACCACCATGCCACCTGCTGGTCCCCGCTATCAGAGAATTTTGAGTAGTGAAGTATTGTCACTCGATTTAATGTTTAAAAGAATACTTGTGGTAGGGAGTAGAGACTAGACTTTGGAGGACACTGGTGGGACCTGGAAAGACTTGTGAGGAGCATTGTAGCAACATGCCAGTTAAGAGACATTAGTGGTTTGGATGGGGTTGTTGGTGGTGAAGGCAGTGACAAGTGATTCTGGATGTATTTTGAACATAGAGCCAATTGAGGATATGAGAGAAAGGAGAAAAGATGACTCCAAGGATTTTGGCCTGAGCAACTGGTAGAATGGAATTGCCATTTACTGATAAGGGGAGAACTATGGGAAGAACAGGTGTGGTGGTCATGACATCTTTATAATTCCCAAGCTTTTTTGTTTATTTGTTGCCATAGGGTGTGTGCATTTGCCAGAATGAGACAGAGAGAGAAAGTGAGAAGTCATCTCCAGGAGAGATGGCCATGCTACAATCCCTTCTCCGTTCTCCTCTGGGGATTTTTGGGCATGCAGGCACAACACTCTTTTTATGTAATTAAGTGTATTAATTACTTGTCATTTAGGTAGAAAAGGTTTTTTCCTAATTTGTTGTTGGTTAACTTTGTTAGTAGAGTTTTGCTGTACAGAAATGTACAGATTTTTATTTTGTCATCTGTTAGTATTTATAATTTTTAGCTTTGCTATCATGTCTAGAAATGTTCTAGGGACCAGATGGCATAATAGTTGTGTCTCTGGACTCCCACGTAGTCGACCACAGTTTGAGTCCTGGGCCCGGCGGCTTCAAACTCACACCAGACATGTGTGTATGCATGCCTAAAATCTTGAGAGAAGAATGGAGGAGAAGGGATTGCAGCATGGCCATCACCCCTGGGGGGGTGATTTCTCACTTTCTGTCTCTGTCTCTCACTGTGTTCCTGGTGAGCGCACATGCCCTGTAGCAAAAAACATCTCTATGAGAAAAAAAATTCTAAAAAATAATCACCAATCTTTTTTTTTAAGAATGCTTGTGGTTTTGTATTTGCATTTAATCTAGGAATTAATTATTTTCTAATTTTTCATTTGCTATAGGGTGTGTGCGCTCACCACAGAGAGACAGAAGGGGAGAGAGAAAGTGAGAAACTACCCTTCCAGTGGGGATTGACACAATGCAGTACTTTCTATTCCATTCTTTTCTCAGGAATTTGGGCATGCTTTCACATGCACTCAGCATGTCCTTCAAGCCATTGGGTCTGGGACTTGAACTGTAGTTGGCCATTTGGGATCTAGCTGCCTTAGCTACCATTCTACCAGTTGGCCCAATCTGGGTATCAGTGTTTTTTTTTTTTTTTTTTTTTTGGAGGTTTTTGCCTTAGGGCATGTGCTCTCACTGGAGAGGGACAGACAGACACAGTGAGAGGGAAAGTGAGAAATCACCCTGGAGGAAGAATGGCCATGCTACAGTCCCTTCTCCTCCATTCTCCTTCTGGGATCTTGGGCATGCACACACAAACACCTGGCATGATTTTCAAGTCACTGGGTCTGGGACTCAAACTGTGGTTGACCATGTTGGAGTCCAGTGACGTAACTGCTATGCCATCTGCTGGTCCCCTGGGTATTAATTTTTATGTATACTATGAATTACAGTTCAATCTTAATTTTTTTCACATAATTAACCTGTTTATGGTAACATCATTTAACACGTTTATCTCTGCTGTGAGAAATGATTACGTCATTCCTTCTGTCTTGTGAAAGGGAGGGTGCATAGCAGGTTTTGTAAGGTGGTGTTCTGTCACGTATTAGAGCTTAGTACGTTCCAAGTTTTGTCTTTGGTTGATGACTTGGTGACTGATTTCTGAGTATGCAAGGTTGTAAACATCTGTCTCCCGGATCTCCTCCCTTCCTCAAAACGATCCTTACGTTGGAAATTATTTTCCTCTTTCTGCCTCCGTGATTGTGAATTCTGCCTGTGGGGGCACCTTGTTTTTAACCACAGCTTCTGTCCTGTCATCAGAAGTACCTCTCAGCTGCTTCATTGTGTCAACTGACAATTGTTCTGAGATAATAAACTAAAGCTTGATTTAGCAGTACAAAATTGACCTCAGTGTGTACTCGTGTCCATTTAATCGTACTGTAGATTGAATTTAATCATACCACAGAAAGCCTTATAGCATTTATGTTTTCCGACATCATATTCTCTGTGTTCCAGCCGTTCTTCAATATGTGGATAAATTAGGCAAGATAATAGTATTTAATTTACTGGATTTTGTTCTTTGAGGCACATAATTAATTTTTTATTAATAATAATGTTTACAAGATCTTATAGTTGGGTGAAGTCTTCAGGCTTAGACGTAAACCTACAGTGTGTTACTACCTTAGAAATGTGTGTCAAGGCTGATCGAATCAAAATCTCCTGATATGTTCTTTTGTTTTTCTGTAGAGAGGAAAATATGATGTTCCTAAGTGGCTCTCTCCCAGTAGCATTCTGCTTCTTCAACAAATGCTACAGGTAAACTTTATTTTTATAACTATTATTGTTGCTTCGAAGTTTATTTCTTCAGATAGAGAGAAAGAGGGAAAGTTTTAAAGGTCAGATACACCCTTGACAGACTCTTGTCATGCTCAGACTTCTGCATGTCCTTCCAGCCAGCCAGGATTACAGAAATGCCTGGTCCTTCTTACATGCCACCTGCACTGCACCACAGTACCCTACTGCCTATGCCACTAGAACTAAGCCCTTTTTTAAAAGAAAAAAAAAAAAAACAAACATGATTGCACATACACCTAATGTGTTTTTCAAGCCACCAGTTCAGGACTTGAACTGTACAGTTGGCCATGTGGGATCTAGTGGCTTAACTACCATGCCACCAGCTGCCAATTTTTAAATAATATCAGGTTGTCAGGAAAGTCATGGCTTATTTTTTTGTGTTTTTCTACGCAAAAATTCATCATGACTTTGCCGACAACCCATTAGTGTTCCGTTGCAGTTGTTTGATCTAACTTTTAAGATATCTGTAGTGCTTCAATATATACTATATTTATTAGCTTTTTTTTTTTTTTTTTGGAGGGGTTTTTGCTATAGGACGTGTGTGCTCACCAGAGAGAGACAGAAAGCAGAAATCACCCCCCGGGGGGATGGCCACACCACAAATCCCTTCCCCTCCGTTTTCCTCTTGGGATCTTGGGCATGCACGCACATGCGCCTGGCGTGAGTTTTAAGCCACCAGGTCCGGGACGCGAACCACAGTCGACTACATGGGAGTCCAGCGACATGGCCATTATCTGGTCCCAGCTGTTTTTTTTTTTTTTTTTCCAATTCCATCTATCACCCCTGCAAATATCCTCTACTAGATCCTTTCTTAATTTCGTTGTAAACTCAATTTTTTTAGACCTCTACAATATGCCTTTGCTGTGTGGCTTCTCTTACTTCTTCTCAAGCATTGTCTGTTTACTCCAACCGGCTCTTGCTGTAGTCTCTCCTACTTTCCTGTTCCTATTCTTGCACATTATACATGTTGTAGATACTGAACAAATGCTTTGGGCTGATATACAGTTGTGTAGCCCTGTAATTAGTACAGTGGATCAGGTTTCAAAATTATCAGCTGGGCTACAGTGTCTGATTCAGTAGATAAGGTAGGTGCAGGACTAAGAATTGCATTCCTCTGGGGCTAGCAGATGGCATAGTGGTTACGGTGTTATTCAGTAGATAAGGTGCAGGACTAAGAATTGCATTCCTCTGGGGCTAGCAGATGGCATAGTGGTTACGTTGCTGGACTTCCACATGGCCAACCACAGTTTGAATCTCAGACCTGGTGGCTTGAAAATTATTCCAAGCATGTGTGTGAGCATGCCCAAGATCCCAGAAGGAGAATGGACGAGAAGGGATTGTGGCATGGTCAACACCCCTGGGGGGGGGGGTGATTTCTTACTTTCCCTCTCACTGTCTCTCTCTCTCTGTCTTTGGCAAACGCACATACCATATGGCAAAAAAAGAATCCTGTAAGCTCCCAGATGAAATTGCTGCTGCTGCTCTTGGAACCACACTTGGAGAACCACTGACTTAGTGGATTGAGCCTCTGAGAGTGAAAGATAGGAGTGGTGAAGTGTAGGTACCCACTCTATTGATCAGGACGCATACCACCTAAGTGGTTCTGATTTGTGAAATGCAGGTTATGAACTTGGCCTAACTGCTATATAGAGTCATGAGGATAAAATGAGATTAAGAAACACTTTGTATGTATGAATACCTTATTAGTACAATTTTTTCATTGCTTATTTAGAATACATTCCAGTTTTTCCATCTATTAAGCCACATTCACCTTTTTTTCAAAATTTACCTTTAGGCTCACCTACCTAAAGTGTGGCCAGACCACCAAATCTCCATAATGGGATTGAAAATGCTTCACCTTTCCTTCTAGACTCCAAAAAACTTAATCTTTATTGATTAAAATTACAAATGGAAAGGAAAGGTGTGCCTTTCAGCTTGTTCTCTGCGATTGTAAGCTCCTCGGAGGTAGAGATTGCATATTCAGTATGAATGCCCTGCATTGTGGCTGCTTGAATATTAAATTGGTGAATATTTCTCATGAATAGGTTTTCCAGCAAAAGACTATTACATCATACAATAGATTGACCGAACTTCATGAATAATGTCCATACCAATGAAGTTCATGTTTGTTAAACATGTATCTTCTAAGCCTGTGTTGGTTGCTATAGTTTTCTTGCCTCTATTGACTTTAAAAGAATTTATTCCAAGGCCATTTTAAGGTCTTTGACAGCATTTTTGTGATGATAAAGTTTACATCTGTTCTGATGGATTTTGAGTTCTCAGGAGGAAAAGTGTTCTCCGTTCTCTTATTTGAAATATTAATCTCTCACTACTTCTTAATGGCCACTAGGTGGACCCAAAGAAACGGATTTCTGTGAAAAATCTATTGAACCATCCCTGGATCATGCAAGATTACAACTGTCCTGTTGAGTGGCAAAGCAAGAATCCTGTAAGTAAAATGAAATCCAGTAGAATTATTTTTTTAACTTTGTATGATTTTTGAGTGAATTCAGGGCCTGTAATTATGTGGTTTAAATATAAACAAAACTGTATTTGTGGGCTTATTCATCAAATTGGTGTATAGTAGATTTGTAACCTGTTTATATATTTACCTGTTAATCTGTAGGACAGTTTTTTTTTTGTTTTTTTTTTAAGTTTATTTCTTGAGAGAGACAGAGAGAGAGAAGGAGGCAGGTACTCCCAACAGGGTTTTCATGTCTCAATGTACCCCATTTTCAATCAGCCTGGTTCACAGGCATGTGCACACATGCCTAGCGTATATAGGAACTTCTTATAGTGAACCCCAGGCCTTCCACATGGATTCTGCATTCAGAGCATTAGTTACCACTGAACCACCATTTAACTCCAGATAGTGGTTCATTAACCTGGGCTTCATAGGACAGTCACCTATGGGCTTTAAAAGAAAGGCCTGGGGACCAGCAGATGGCGTAATGGCTATTTCGCTGGACTCCCATGACAGTCGCCCGCAATTCAAGTCCCAGACCTGGTGGCTTAAACTCATGCTGGGTGTATATGCGCACATGCCCTAGATCCCGAGAGGAGAGTGGAGGAGAAGGGATTGCGGCGTGGCCATCTCCCCTAGGGGGGTGATTTCTCGCTCTCTGTCTCTCCGTCTCTCTCTTTCTAGCAAAAGCCTCTCCAAAATTTTTTAAAAAATAAAAAAATAAAATAAAATAAAGGGCTGTATCCATTCCAGAATACACGTGTGTAGTTTTTAAAGCTCCAGATGTTTCTCAGGTGTGGTGAAGACTGTGAACAGTGTTCTGGGAGTCTCGGGCAGTCTTAACTTTGCTAGGCCAATTTATTCATCTGTAAAAAGTAGTGTATACCACTTTTACTCCTCAGAGTACATATGAGGTTACAGTGATTCTTAGACCTTTTAGTCTGAGGGCCCCTTTACCCTCTTAATGTTTATCTATTAATTTATTTAAAAATAACAAATAAACCCATTATGTATTAGCACAAATATTTTTGTGAGGAATACCATTTAAAGATAAATTTGGCAAAAAGAGCAGCATTGCTTTATGTCTTTGTAGTTTTCCTTAAAATCTGGGTTGGGACCAGGAAGTGGTGGGTGGTTAAGGTGCTGGACTCCCACATGGTCAGCCACAGTTTGAGTCCTGGGCCTCATGGCTTGCTTTCTCACTTTCTTTCTCTCTGTCTCTCTCTGGTCAGAGAAAAAAAATACATTAAATTAAATCTTTTTTTTTTAATCTGGCTTAATAGAAGGCACTTGGATGCTTACCTGCTTCTGTGTTTAGCTTAATATACTATTTTGAGGGAACCAGCAGTTAGCGTAATGGCTATGTCGCTGGACTCCCACGTAGTCGACCGCGGTTCGTGTCCCGGACCCGGTGGCTTAAAACTCACGCTGGGCGCGTGTGCGTGCGTGCCTAAGATCCCGAGAGGAGAATGGAGGAGAAGGGATTGTGGCGTGACCATCCCCCCTGGGGGGTGATTTCTCGCTTTCTGTCTCTATGTCTCTCTCTGTCTGTCTGGCGAGCGCACGCGCCCTACAGTGAAAATCTCTCCAAAAAAAAAAAAATATATATATACTATTTTGATCAATGCATATGAGGAACCTTTAAAAGGTTCATGAAAGGCGGGCCTAAGGCCTAGTGGTTAAAGGAGCTGGATTCTAATGGTTCACTAAATAGTTCAGATCCCATTATACCATCTACTGGTCCCAAGAAATAAGTATTTTAATGGTATTTTTAGTTGATTGGAGATAGTTGGTGATAACTCACCACAACTTCTGAGTGGAGTGCGACATGTGGCATGGATCATCAAAATAGCTTAGAGATGAGTCTCAGATATGCCAATGTAGACTTGGTTCAGCTGTTGGGTGTTTGCATTCTGGAATAATTACAGCAGTAAACATAAATCGTCTTTTAAATGGTCAACTGGTCTTAGAAAATTAGGCTATACTTGCTTCAAGCCTCTTTTACCATCTACTTACAATTATAGCCAAGCAACGTGAGCTGAAATCCTTCCCGATTCTCCTATGACTGTCAACTCCTCAAATTTCTTTTATTCAGATTTCCCCTGGCCCTCTCTGGCATTTAAAAATATCTGTTGTTGTTTTTATTTTAAATGTTTATTTAACTTTATTTGTTATTGTTATTATTATTTAATTTGACAAGAGAAGGGGAGAGAGAGAGAGAAAGAAAGTAGAGCAAGCCTCCAGATCTGAGACTTGAACCATGGTCGGCTATGTAGGAGTCCAGCACCTTAACCACCACGCCACCTGCTGACTCCTTTATTGGTATTTTTAATATCTGTAACTTAATTTTAACTAATTCTAACAACTTTATCCCTGAGAGCCCAAGACTAGAAGAGTGTACCACTTTAAACACCTCAGCAGCAGAGTCAGGGAAGCTGTCATATACCCCTGATGAGGTGGAGAGTGGGTGGTGCAGATGCCTGTGTTCAACCATTGGGGGTCATCATTCCTCCACATGTGGAGGGCTTTGTGTGTCTTCTCAGCCATGCTTCTAACAGGATAGGTTACACCGCTGTTTGTGAGAGAGCCGATGCCAAAATGAATGGAGTCTCTGATTTCAACAGACCAAAAGTTTCTCGTTTTTAAATTTGGAGCACAATATAAACTCCAATATGTTAAAGTTTTAAGTGTTTTGAAAGATCTTTCCTTACATCTCGATATAATAATTGCTAATATTTATTGAGGACTTATAATAGTATGGTGTTACAATGAGGGCCTCTGTATATTACAGTATAATGTAAATAGATCTCCTAGGATAGTACTTTTAAGAATCAAGCCCTGGGGGGAACCAGCAGTTACCGTAATGGCTATGTCGCTGGACTCCCACGTAGTCGACCGCGGTTCGCGTCCCGGACCCGGTGGCTTGAAACTCATGCCAGGCGCGTGTGCGTGCGTACCCAAGATCCCGAGAGGAGAATGGAGGAGAAGGGATTGCGGCGTGGCCATCCCCCCTGGGGGGGGAGTTCTCGCTTTCTGTCTCTTTCTCTCTCTGTCTGGCGAGCACACGTGCCCTATAGCAAAAAAAAAAGACAAAAAAAAAAGAATCAGGCCCTGGGGCCAGCAGGTGGCATGGTGGTTAAGGCACTGGACTCCCACATGGCTGATTATGATTTGAGTCATAGATCTGGCAGAGTGCTTTCTCACTCTCTCTGGTCAAAATAAAAAAAAGAATAATACTAAATAAAAATAAACAAATAATTCTTTAAAACAACAACAGGAGAATCAGGCACTATTCAGTGGGCTTTGTGTTGTTTAACCTCTTTAATTCATTTAATCCTCACACCAAATCCTCTGTTGCTTTTTAAAGTATTTGCTATTCTTCCTTAACATTGTGTTTCATCAAGAGTGGACTATAACAGAGAATTCAGATTTCCTTGGATATTTAAGGTATAGATGCCGTTTCATAGCTCTATGCATGACCTCCTCCTGCCGTTTTCACACATAGTTCTAGTACCCAAGTATTGTATCAAATAGAAGTTGTGTTCAGTTCCATTTTCTGCCCTAGTGAACAGGAAATGTAGTAGACACGGATAATACAAAATAATTGGCTAGCTTTGGGTATGCATTTTTGTATGTAATTTGAGTATGTGTGGCTGAGAATTCAGAGCACTTAAAGTACCTAGCCTCTTTGGAAGACCCAGCCTGAGATAAACTATGTTATTCAGACTTTGGTGTCTTTCCCATACTGCTCTTTTTATTTTTCCAGTTCAGGAGCCCAGCAGGGAGGATAACATCTTCCCACTCTTCCTCCCTTTCCAGTGCATACTTTGTGGTAAGGGTACAGAGCACGGGGCTGTGGGAGAGAGAGAGGTTGTTTTGTTTTTAGGGGAGTAAATTAAGATCATGGTGGGAACCACCCAGTCTTTCTCGTTTTGCTTAAGCAGTGATGACATCAATAAGAAGATACCCGACTGGGTGGTAAAAGTATCTGGGCTTCTGAGGTTGAGACCATCCTGGAGCCGAATCTACAGTTCTGGAAGCTGCCAAAGTCAGAGCAATACAGTGAAAACTTATTCTTAGCTCTTTGGACTGCCACAGTATCACTGCTACAAACCTTGGTGGTCTGTATTGTCTCTGTAACTCAGCAGGTGTTGCTTATAGTAGCATAATGTAAGGTCATCTCAGTCCATTCAGGCTACTGTAACCATAAGGCTGGGAAGTTCAGGATCAAGGCACTGGCAGATTTGGTGTCTGGTGAGGGTCCTCTTTCTGGCTCATTAAGTGACACTTTTTTGCTATGTCCTCACATGGCAGAAGGGGAAAGACAGCTTTCTGGGGCCTCTTTTATAAGGATATTCCATTCATGATGGTAGAACTCACTTATGGCCTAATCACCTCCTCCAAACTCCACTTTCTGATACCATCACACCAATGATAAGTTTCAGTGTTATTGAAAGGACACAAACATTCAGGATAGCAAGGTCCTTGTCTCTATTGTTTCTCTCTTCATGATGGCATTGTGGCTTTCTCTGGGCCCATCTATTGTTACGAGTATGATATCCAGAACAGGGAAGATTATGGTATTATGTTGGAAAACCTCTGTTTTATATTATATTTGGTTCTGAATAACTCACCTTGAGGGTCAGTGACACCTGGAGTGTGTGACCTAAAGAATGGGCCGGAGGAAGTGCTCTGGAGGCGGGGACCGGAGAGGTGCCAGCTGTTCAGCAGAAAAGGACAGCGGCATTTCTAAACCAGTTTGTGGTGCACACTGTACAGTTCCTCAACCGTTTTTCTGCAGTTTGTGAGGAGAAACTGGCAGACCTTTCTCTTCCTATCCAACAAATTGGAACAACTCTTAATATTTTAGATGCAAAGTTGTCATCTATCCTGGGCCTAGGTAATGTTACATGGAAGTATCTCCTTTAAGTGTCACTAGCGTCACAAATGGATCATATTCTGAAGCCACTACAGAGCGATAGCAGCAGAACAGTAGACAAGACTCTGGACAACAGGAAAGTGAAGCATCAGCAGAAGATATCTTAACCGTAGCCAGGGATCCAAGATATGCCAGATATCTCAGCATGGTTCAAGTGGGTGTTCCAGTGATGGCAGTAAGAAACAAAATGATATCAGAAGGACTAGACCCAGATCTTGAGAGGCCAGAAGCTCCAGTGCCTGATGGTGAAACTGAAAAAGCTACAGAAGAAAGTTCAGACAGCGAATCTAGTGACTACATACCCACCACCAAGCTTCCTCTTTTAAAAAAATAAAAACATTTATAACTTAAAAAAAAAAGAATGGGCCAGAATAGAAACGGAAATTAATCATTAAAGAAGTGGTTGAAGGAACTGGAAAAGAGAAAGCTTGAAGAGGAAAGGGTGGTTATAATAGGAATATTCAGGGCAAGCCTGGTGGCATAGTGATTAAGCACAGTGCATAAGGAACTGGATCCCACATGAATTTTTGCAGTTCAAAACCTAGCCCCAGTGGCTTGAAAAAACACACATGTGCATGCATTCCTTAAATCCTGATGGGATGGAGAAATGGAGGAAAATGGATTGTGACATGACCATGCCCTATTTGGGGGTGCTTTCTCTTTCTCTGGTGAGTGCGTGTGCCCTCTGGCAATTAAAAAAAAAGGAATATTAAAAATTCAGAAAAGCACTTATATCAAAGAGGAAATAGAATTATGACTGTTAGTAAAAATAGTTAACCATGTTTTGAAGGCCTCCTTCATATGTCGCATGTATTGCAAAGCGTGTACCATCTCTCTGTTACAGATGTTGAAGCCCAGGCTCACAGAGGCATAGTAACATGTTCAGGGTTACATGGGTATTAATTACATGGGTATTAAAACGAAGGTCTCTCAGTTCAAAGCCTGTGAGCCATCAGGTTGTATCCAGCTCACAGTGGATGGAGATCATAGGGAGACAGACCGCAGGCATTAGGAGGGAGAAGCTAACTATCTCAACTATTCTGAGTTCCCTGGAGAGGAGAACTTTATAAACAAGCGGCACTTATTGTGGCTGTTGTGAAGACCATTGTTACATTGAAAGATGAACTTTCAGTTACATTCCTTACGATCCTTTCCTGTCTGGTCTTCTGAACTTCCCAGGGCGAGACCTGATCATTCTGGTTTTCGTTTTTGGTGATCTTTGGTTCTGAGCACCCATTTCTGGCCCCTTCTTTGGTGAGGTCCCATCATGCAGGAATTAGAATACTTGGATAATCTCTATTCTTAAACAAAACAAAGTGTGTATGGAAGCTCTCAGTTACTTTTTTTAGATAGTGCTCTGCTATCTAAAAAAAGCATGGTGATGATTGTGCAGCATCCATGGCACCGTCAGAAAGGGCTCCTTACATTGTGCTGAACACACTTGGGTGACAGCGTGCTACTAGTCTGAGCCACTCTCACCAACCTAATGTTTAACCACTGACTTAAGACTCTTAGACAGCAGCTCTTTAATGAACAAGCCAGTGTGGCAAGAGAAACAGAGAGATAGAAAGAGAAAGCGAGAAAGCAAGATGCCAGGTCCAAGACCCAAACCACAGTCAGCCATGTGAGAATCCAGTGCCCTTAACTACCACGCCATCTGCTGGCCCCTATGAAACACAATTGATGAGATGATGGTGGGGATATGAAGAGAGCTGGGAAGGAGCTCTTCTTCTTGAAATACTTTTCACCTGTTTATATCTTTTTTTTTTTTAATATTTTTCCCCCTTATTCATGATAGAGCACATGCACACATGAGAGAGAGAGAGAGAGAGAGAGAGAGAAGCACCCTCCACAGGGTGTGGTCATGCTGCGATCCCCTTCCTCCACCCCATCGGATCTCGGGCACTTGTGCATGTGCCCATCATATTTCAGGCTGAGCCAGCTGGGGATTTGAACCAGGGTTGCCTTGTGAGGTCTGTCTCCTCTTGAACAGCACTGCTCCACCACAGAGCCAGCCCTATCCACTTACATCATAGAAAAGTATCAAGGATCTTAATAACAACAACTCTTGTTGTTTTTAACTTACTGGTGTTTGATTTTTAAAAAATTATATTTGCGGAACCAGCAGGTGGCATAATGGCTGTGTCGCTAGACTCCCATGTAATCCACCACGATTCAAGTCCTAGACTTGGTGGCTTAAAACTCACGCTGGGCCCGTGTGCGTGCGGGCCCAAGATCCCAAGAGAAGAATGGAGGAGATGGGATTGCGGGATGGGCATCCTCCCTAGGCGGTGATTTCTTGCTTTCTGTCTCTTTGTCTCTGTCTTTCTGGCGAGTGCATGTGCCCTATAGCAAAAAAATCTCTACAAAGAAAAAAAAAATGAAAAAAATTTGTATTTGTTAGAGGCTGTGTGTACTCCTTGGAGAGAGACAGGGGTGAGAAGGAATGAGAAAGCACCTCTACTGGGGGATGGTCAGGTTGCAATCTCTTCTCTTCCATTTCTTTTGTTCAGATTTTAGGCATGCATGCACATGTGCCTGGTGTACTTCTTAAACCACTGGGTCTGGGACTCAAGCCATGCCGTTGGTCATGTGGGATCCAGCTGCCTTAACCACCACACCATCAGCTAGCCCCAAGTGTTCAATTTTTTATAAAGTAATTGTGCTGCTTTTAAAATTTCAAAACAATAAATATATTTGTGAATTTTTTTGTTAATAAAAGTTATAATTTTTCCCCCTAGTTTATTCACCTTGATGATGATTGTGTAACAGAACTCTCTGTACATCACAGAAACAACAAGCAAACAATGGAGGATTTAATTTCATTGGTAAGAAATACAACATGAGTTTGAAAGTAATAACTTTTGTTTCATTGTTCTTTATCAAGTTCATTAAAATAGTATAGCATTTTCAGACCTATGAAAATATTACATTTATTTTACATTTATATATTATTCCCACTCAATTATTTTCTGATGTTTGCTTTATACATTCTTTAAAAATGGATAGTCTATACTTAAGACATTGAAGTAAGAGAATTGTAGTGAAAAAAATAATTAAGAAACAGAGCAAACTAGTCCACAGAGAATCTAGAGTTCAATTTTTTGTTTTGTTTTGTTTGGGAGGTTTTTGCTATAGGGCATGTGCGCTCGCCAGACAGACAGAGAGAGACATAGAGATAGAAATCGAGAAATCTCTCCCCAGGTGCTATGGTCACGCCGCAATCCCTTCTCCTCCATTCTCCTTTGGGGATCTTGGGCATGCACGCACACGCGCCCGGCGTGAGTTTTAAGCCACCGGGTCCGGGACACGAACCGCGGTTGACTACATGGGAGTCCAGCGACATAGCCATTACGCTAACTGCTGGTTCCCCAGAGTTCAAATGTTGACCACCTGAAAGTTCTCTAACATGGAACTGTGATTCTGCTGTGGAAATGAGGTAGACACAAACTGGTGTATCCTACCTAAGTACCATCCTGTCACCCCCACACTTATGAACCAACATTATGAAATCATTAATATGGTTTCCATTGTTGCTGTTTTTACCTCTTCTGGGTGATTGGTCTCTAGATCATACCTGTGTTTTCTCTGGTGATAGAAGTCTTCACCGTCGTCTGAGTGCAATCTAATGTGAACGATGAGGACTGCACCCAGCTTTCCTCATGACTTGTATTGTTTTTGTTGTTGTTCTCTAATTTGCAGGGTCAGGAGTTTAAACAGATTTTTCCTCCCTAAACAAAGCTTTGCTGAGACACAGTTCTTTTCATGGAGAAGGAAATATAAACTCATTCTTTTGAATGGCTTGATAAGCAAAGGTTCTGGAATGTATCTGGAAAATGGAAGTATAATTTACTTTTTAATGGATAATGCCTTGAAGGGAGTGGGAAGAATTGGAAATTGCTATAAGATATGTCAGGTTCTTAGTCTTTTATCATTGAAATTTTGCAGTTTCATTTAAGTGACCTAAAAAATTGTATTTTTTTGGTATGATCTTTAATGAAGATTATATTCAGATACAAATATTTTCTTTTAAAGTTTTTATTATAGAAATTTTAAGCATCTATAAAAGTGAATTAATAGAATAATAATGGTATAGTAACTGTGTGTTCAACCAGTTTCAACAGTTATTATTATTATTTTGCCAGTTTTATTTAGCTAAACACTGTCCCCTTTTTCCAGCTGGGATATTTCAAAGTAAATCCCAGATACCATGTCACTCTACCCAGGAGAAATTTTGTATGAGATTCACAGAATTTCAAAAATTTGAATCTTTTAGTTACATACTCAGAGTCTCAAGAATCTTGAAAATAAGTCTTTAAGTGGTATATTTTATGAAGTCTGTATGTACAGTTTTGAAACTTAAAAGCAAAATGGAAATATGAATTAATTGCTTTTCTTCTGAGGCAGAAAGCATAATTAAGATTGAAACATATTAGAGATTATTTTCTGTTGTTACTTATTCCCAAAGATTATTCTAAAACTTAAGCATAATTTGACAGAGTTTTAATTTTGATTTTGTTACAGTTTTCTAACATGGAACTGTGATTCTGCTGTGGAAATGAGATTGCAATGAGGAAAATACTAGCTTTTATCCTAATGTACTTGTCACTGATTTCTTTTTTTAAAAATGATTGTTTATTAAATTTTATTTATTCATTCATTTATTTTTAATTTGACAGAGAGAGAGAGAGAGAGAAAGAGGGGAAGTGAGAAAACAAGCCATCAGGTCTGGGACGCGAACCGTGGTCAGCCACTTGGGAGTGTCCAGTGCCTTAACCACCATACTACCTGCTGGTCCCCGTCACTGATTTCTTAAATGCCTGTTTATACTTATGTTCTCTATCAGAAAGGAGTAGGATGTACTTCTCTATCTAGATTAGAGAAGTGGGTTGAAGTAAATATGGGACCTGCAGGTGGCATGACTGGACTCCCACATGGCAGCCACGGTTCAAGTCCTAGACCTTGTGGCTTGCTTTCTCACTTTCTCTCTCTCTCTGTTCCTCTCTGGACAAATTAAAAATAAATAAATTAAATAAAATAAAGTTAAATAAGATAATTTTTAAAAAAAGTAAATAAGCAACCAGCCGATGGCGTAATGGCTGGAAAGCACCCAGCCGATGGCGTAATGGCTGCGTTACTAGACTCCGATGTAGTTGACCGCGGTTCGAGTTCTTTACCCGGCGGCTTAAACTCAACACCGGGCACGTGTACATGCGTGTCCAAGATCCTGAGAGGAGAATGGAGGAGAAGGGATTATGGCGTGGCCATCCCCCCTGGGGAGGGTGATTTCTCGCTTTCTGTCTCTCTGTCTCTCTCTGTCTTTCTGGCAAGTGCATGCGCCCTATAGCATGCACTATAAACCTCTCCAAGAAAAAGAAAAAGAGAAAATCTAAAAGTGACCACAGAAACGATAAGCTAAATAGAAATGTTTCAAAATGAAGTTAATGTGAAATCTTTTTATAGTTGAACCTAAACACATGCAAAAAATATGAGAGAAGGGATAAAAAAGTTCCAACATACAAATAATGGAAGTTGCAGGAAGGGAAGCAGAATAAAGAGAAGAAGAAAGCACAAAAACAAAACAAAACAAAACATAAAAGCAAACACAAATATTCCAGAAGTGAAGGATATGAGTTTCCAATAATGTAGAAAAATATAGCTTAGAAGTATTTAAAAGTTGCTCCTTCTGGGGACATAAAAATTGTTTATGTGTGGAGGGTGTGGTGCAGGGATTACTGGTTTTCACTATATGTATTGTAAAACTGTTGACTTAGATCTCTAAATATCTGTTACACTGAGGAAAATAATTTTTAAATAGAACATTATTTTAACAACTTTCATCTCTAAACTTTATTTTCTTTCCTTCCAGTGGCAATACGATCACCTCACAGCTACCTATCTTCTGCTTCTAGCCAAGAAGGCTCGGGGAAAACCAGTTCGGTTGAGGCGTCCTTCTTTTTCCTGTGAGCAGGGCAGTGCTACCCCATTCACAGGCGTCAGGGTAAATGTTTCGACCTTTTGTGTGAACGCTTGTAGGCCATGCCGTGTGCCTGCCCTGTTCATGAGTAGATCTACCACCAGGAAAGTTAACTGACTGGTATTAAGGAGTTGGAGGCAAGATACTATACAATTTGAACTTTTATTTGCTTATTTTGTTGATGAGAAAAATGGGAATTTCTGAACATGAACTCTAAAGTTTTAATATTATTGTAACATTTTATTTTAATTAATTAATTAAGCCAGAGGGTGCGTGTGCTTGTCGGAGAGAGATAATGCATCACTTCCTCTGCAAGGGACTATGGTCACGTTACAGTCCTTTTCTTCCTACCTGTCAGGATTTGGGGCATGCACACACATGCATCCGGTATGGTTTTTAAGCTGTCAGTGCTGGGATTAGTACCATAGTTGGCCATGTAGGATTCAGTTTGCTATGCAGAGCTCTTAGCCACTATACTATGGGGCCAGCCCAACATGTCATTTTAAAAACTTCTACCCTACTTGGGAACCAGAAGTTAGTGTAATGGCTATGTCACTGGACTCCCACGTAGTCGACTGTGGTTCACATCCCGGACCCTGTGGCTTAAAACTCACGCCGGGCGCGTGTGCGTGCGTGCCCAAGATCCCAAGAGGAGAATGGAGGAGAAGGGATTGCGGCGTGACCATCCCCTCTGGGGGGTGATTTCTCACTTTCTGTCTCTATGTCTCTCTCTGTCTGTCTGGCAAGCGCACGCGCCCTATAGCGAAAACCTCTTAAAAAAAAAAAAACAAAACCCTCTACCCTACTTTCCCACACCTTATTTTTCCCCCACAAAACCAATTCCTAATTATTTACATTTTTTTTTTGGAGAGACTTTTTGCTACAGGGCGCGTGCACTAGCCTGAAAGACAGAGAGAGACATTAAGAAATCACCCCCCAGGGGGAGATGGCCACGCCACAATCCCTTCTCCTCCATTCTTCTCTCAGGATCTTGGGCATACATACACATGCCCAGTGTCAGTTAAGTCCCAGGTCTGGGACTCGAACCATGGTCGACTACATGGGAGTCCAGTGACATAGCATTCTGGTACCTTATTTACTTCTTTAAAGAATGATTTTATTTAACTTTATTTAGTTTATTTATTTATTTTTAATCTGACAGACAGGAACAGAAAGAGAGAGAGAGAAAATGAGAAAGCAAGCCACAAGGTCCAGGACTTGAACTGTGGTTGCCATGTGGGAGTCCAGTCATGCCATCCGCTGGCCCCATATTTACTTATTTTTTAGAGATTTTTGTTATAGGGTGCGGCCATTCGCTGGAGACAGAGACAGAGAGACAGAAAGCAGAACTCACCCCCCTCGGGGGTGGGGATGGCCATGCTGCAATCCCTTATCCATTCTCTTCTCAGGATATTAGGCATGCATGCACATATGCCCAGCATGAATTTTAAGTCTCTAGGTCTAGTACTCAGCACAGTTGACTGTGTGAGCATCCAGCAACATAACCATTACACTATCTTCTGATCCCTTTGGGTCTATCTATCTATCTACCTATCTATCAATTTATTTATGGCAGTTCCTAATTGTTACAGAAATATTTCATGCCACAGATGAGCTAAAAGGAAAATGGAATTTACTTATGAAACTCCTACCTACAGATGATAGTTAATATTTTAGTGTTATTTTTCTCTTTTTAAATTTATTAGCTTATATAATTTGTGTAAATACAGGAGCTTTTAACTGATACAGTATTAATGAATTAGAAGTTTTTTTTTTAATTGTTGAGAATAAAACGTGTTAAAGTAGAATATATTCTACTTGATATGTGAAATATTTAATGAAGCTCATGATATTTTTGTGCATGGTTTAAGTTTGTTATTTGTTTTGAGCAGCAGTAGCTTGAGCTCATGCAACTTGAATTCCTTTTATCAAAGTCAGTTGTAACCAATTATTTTTCTCTATGTTGTTATCTTTCTTTCCCTTGTCAAGGACATTGATAATGGTAGAGAAGCTTTACATGTTTGGAAGCGCCATGTCATCCCTAAGTGCTCTCATTAGTCTGCTTTCTGTGTGAATCTTTGTGTACTTTACTAGATGGGTGTGGGATTTTGTAACATGATCTTCCCTCAGATTAATTTGGATTACAATTTAAATTATTTTAGCACTAGGAAGCTGAACCTTTTTAATCTTTGGAGAGAATTAGCCATCTTTTTGGAGAGGTTTTTGCTATAGGGCGCATGTGCTCACCAGAAAGACAGAGAGAGACAGAGAGACAGAAAGCAAGAAATAACCCCCCAGGGGGGATGGTCACGCTGCAATCCCTTCTCCTCCATTCTCTCAGGATCTTGGGCACACATGCACACACGCCTGGCGTGAGTTTAAGCCACCAGGTCTGGGACTCGAACCGTGGTTGACCACATGGGAGTCCAGTGACATAGCCACTATGCCAACTGCGGGTCCCCCAGAATTAGCCATCTTTATGGAATTCCAAAAAAATGATTCTGTGGATGAGGTGATTTTTTTTTTTCTTTTCGTCTCAAAACTGTATTTTTTTTTTTTTTTTTAAAGTTAAAATGCCATTTCTTTCACAGTCTCTTGCTGAAACCCTCTTTCCCCCTAAATTCTTTTCACATCTCATTTAGATCTTTTTTTGACACCTCTCAGTCATATGCTATGGGTATAGTGGGATCTGTCCCTGTCAGACCTAACCTCTGCCTGCTTCTTTCCCCCTAGTTTGTCTTTTGACTAAGCTAAGAACTAAATATGTAAGCTGCCATTATGTAAAGAAATCTCTGAAGTGAGATCATCTTATTCTGGGGATGGTTTTCTGATCTCTTCCTGGGGCATTTTATTGAGCTGCTGAATACCCAATTTTGAAGCAGATATATTGCCTGTGGATTTCATGAATCAACCCATCACCCATCCTGCCCACATTGCCAGACCCTTTAAACTTCCAGATCAAGTAACACATTTGGGTCCAGGAAGACTCAAATGCATGGAACTTTGCTTCTGATGAAAATACTTGTAGAAAGCGATTAGATTTCTCTATACTTAGAATAACTTTGAGCTAAGATTTTAAGTTCGTAATACCTAAGAAGCATTTCTTGTGTCTCAGCTGATCTGCTTACATGATCCGTAAAGTATCCAAATAGGAACTATCTGGGAAGATATTCACTCTTATTTTCTGCCTACTACATACTGAGTTTAAATATTTGGGCAGTCTTATTGAATCAATTTTTATAGCAGATAGACATTTTAATGACAAGAAATGAAGTAAAAATAAAATTTGGGGTTCTTTTCTGAACTTTAAGCAAATCACTGAGACGTGAAACAGGCCACATAATTTCTTTGTACTGTTTTCCCTCTTGATAGAATCACTGTTTTTCTCTGGGGTATTGTTTCTAAGAAAATAAGTAATCCTGAACTATCAATCAGTTGTTTTCAGCGAAGCAACAATACAATCTGAGCCAGGAATCACTAGAGACCGTATCACTAGCAACATCGTCAGCATTATCAGACCTCGTGCTAGGCTCTTGGGAAACAGATCTATACACAGTGTGGTACTTGCTCTGTAGCTGTCAAGTCGAGGCATGATGAACACACAGATATCACTACACTGTAGTGGATGACGGGGCCGGATAAGTAGCCAGACGTGTGTTGAGGGGCTTTAGAGAATGGAAGATAGCACCATCAGAGAGTCGAGCAGGACTATCATCATGGTACTATTCTCTCTTAAGTTCTTTTGTCTTCTAATTAAATAGTCAAAGAATCTGAGTCTGGAAGATGTGGCCACTAGTGATAAAAATTATACGGATGGATTAATAGACTATGACTGGTGTGAAGACAGTTCATCAATGGGTGTGGCTACGCCCCAAACACCACAGGTTGGTCATCTTTTATTGTTATTTAAAGCAGAGTATATTATCTCAATTGTGAAAATAACTGAACTAACATGAAGTGAGATGTGTTCTTGCAAATTTAACAAATCTCTAAACTTCTGAAAACATTAACGAGAAATTATTGGAATATGAATGAAAGGGAAGTCAATTTCTCTCATGTTAAAGTCAAGATTCTATTTTGGAGAATATTTTTTATTTTTAAAATTTTGTTAGAGGGTACATGAATTTGCCAGAGAGATAGAGAGAGAAGGAATGTGAGAAAGCACCTCCTATGGGGGATGGTAATGCCACGGTCCCTTCTCCATCTCTCTACTTTTGGGATTTGGGACACAAATGCACCAGCTGCCTTAACTACCACGCCACTGGCTAAAAAATAAATTACCTCTAATTGTTGTTGTTGTTTTAAGAATTATTTATTTAATTTTATTTAATATTATTTCTTTCTAATTTGCTATAGAACACATGCATTTATCAGAGAGAGACAGAGCAAGAGAGAGAGCAGGTGAGAAAATAAGCTGTCAGGTCCAGGACTCAAACCGTGGCCGGCCATAACCAGTGCCTTTATCGTCTACGCCACCTACTAGCCCGCCTCTACTTGTTTTTAACAGACCTCTGGAAAAAAAGCTGTTTACACTGAGCAGGCTCTGAATAAGGCCAAAGAAAGTGGAGTTTTCCCGGCAACTACCAAGCAGGTCAAATAATGACAGTGCTCTGAGTATAATGCTTTGGAAGAACTCTGTCCTTCTGCCCCTTCCGGTGACTCCCTAGTTTCATAGTAATTGGGGGCTGTTGGTTTCGGATGCTGTTACAGATCTGGAGAGAAGGCAATGGGAATGGGACAAGTTAAAATTCCGGAGTTCAGCTCCTTCTTAGCTATTTTTCTTGAACAAATGCTGTGATCCTTGCCTAACACAGAGTTCTAAAAGAACAGAGGTATACTTGTTTATGGAGAGGGAGATTTGAAGTTATAAATTTTAATATTTTTCAAAGTGACTTTTTTTTTTTCCCCTGCCATAAGGGTGTGAGCATTCATTGGAGAGACAGAGACAGAGAGACAGGAAGCAAGAAGTCACCACCCAGAGGTGATGGCCATGCCACAGTCCCCTCTCCATTCTCCTCTTGGGATCTTGGGCATGCACGCACATGCACGAGGTGTAAGTTCTGAGTTCGGGTCTGGGGCTCAAACCGCGGTCTTGACCACTTAAGAGTCCAGCAACATAACCATTACACCATCTGCTGGCCCCTCAAATAGACTTCTTAAGATGGATGTAATTTCTGCTTTCACATATTTTTGAAACATGTCAAAATGATTCTAAAGTTTAGGAGTCGAGGGACCAGCAGATGGCATAACTATATCATTGCTGGACTCCATGTGGTTGGCCATGATTTGAGTCCTGGACTCTATGGCTTCAAACTCATGCCAAGTGCCTGTGCGTGCATGCCCAAGATCCCAAGAGGAGAATGGAGGAGAAAGGATTGTGGCTTGGCCATATCCCCAAGGGGTGATTTCTTGCTCTGTCTCTCTTTGTCTCTCCAGTTAACACATGTGGCATATAGGAAAAATTTCTTTAAAAAGTATAGGCATGGAAGCACAAAGGGATGAGAATAGCTAAAAATATTCCTAACAAAGAGGAAAATGGAAGGAGGTTGGCCAACCAGATGTAAGAACTGTGGTATTATTACAAATAAACCAATGGAGCCTTTCATACGCTTACATTTTAGGACCCTCTCTTAAAAATAACATATAGCTAGATTTGTTATGTAAACTGAAAATCTTTGTCTTTTAAATTGAGAACTTAACCAGCTTATTTTGATGAATAATGTATTTATCATGTGCTACCATTGTATTTTATATTTTGTTTTATATTTTCCCTTATTTTATATTTTTATGTTAATTTTCATCCCATTGGTTTCTGTTTTATTTCTGTTTTTTTACAATTTACTCTAAATTTTGTATGTGACATTTAATTTAACCACTTCTAAAATTCACCTGTGTCTTTACAATAGGAAGTTTTTAGAACACCTAATCTCCAGTTGCCTCTCTTAGATTACATGCTGCTGATATGCCCAGCATTAGTTCTGTGCTTTTCGTAGCTTTGTATTTTGAGATCTTTGTGCACTCACAGGAAATTATGGAGGATATTGCTCTGCTCGCTTCTTCTCTTGTTGCTTCTGAGATGTCATTTTTGGTCTAGCTCCTTTCTAGTTAGTCTTTCTCTTTTCTCTGGCTCCACTAGGAACCTTCTCTTTGTTTCTGTGGTTTTATCGTTAGGGCTACTGCATTGCACAACTCCAGGGAACACACACCATTCACACAGTATCTGTGTGGGAGGTTCCTCTAGAGTTGTACAGCCTGGTAAGGTAAGGGCAGACATGGATTTCTTTCTCTTTGGCCTGACTCATTATGTTTCATATGTATGTGGGTTTGAATTTTTAATAAATTTTGGGAAAATTATTTGATAATTACTCCTTTTCCTTGTCATTATTATGTCTGTGGAATTTAGAGTAGACATATGTTAGATCATCTCATTTCATTTTCCATTTACCTTAAATCATTTTTCACATGTCCCATAGCTTTTTCTCTGTTGGCTGTATTCTGGATAATTGTTTCTGATTTATCTTCCCAGTTAACAATTATCTTTTCATTTCTATCTAGTCTGTTATTTGACATGTCCTCTTTTTTATCATTATGGTTTTTTAAAAACTTTCCAGAGGTTTATGTTTATTATTATTTTTTGATTATGAGTAAGGTTTATTCTTAGGTTTATTATTATTTTCAAATCTGTTAGGACCTTCTTCATAGTCTCATTTCTTTTATTTTTTTGGTTAGAATTATTTGTTTAATTTGATTTATTCATTCATTTATTTTCCCTTTTTTTTTGTGGGGGGGAGAGGTTTTTGCTATCGGGCACGTGTACTCGCCAGAAAGACAGAGAGAAACAGAGACAGAAGATGAGAAATCACCCCCCCCAAGGGGGATGGATGGTCACGCCACAATCCCTTCTCCTCCGTCCTTTCCATGGGATCTTGGACACACACACGCGTGCCAGGCATGTGAACCAGCTATGCTAACTGCTGGTCCCAAGAGAGAGATATTTTTTTTGGAGAGGTTTTTGCTATAGGGTGTGTGTGCTCGCCAGAAAGACAGAGAGAGACAGAGAAATAGAAAGTGAGAAATCCCCCCCCCGGGGGATGGCCACACTGCAATCCCTTCTCCTCCATTCTCCTCTTGGGATCTTGAGCACACACGCACACGGGCCTGGCGTGAGTTTAAGCCACTAGGTCTGGGACTCAAACCGCAGTCGACTACATGGGAATCCAGTGACATAGCCATTACGCCAACTGCTGGTCCTGAGAGATTTTTTTTACTATGGGGCATGTGCGCTTGTTAGAGAGATAGAGAGAGAGACAGAGATAAAAAGCAAGAAATCACCCCCTCAAGGGGGATGGCCATGCCGCAGTCCTTTCTCTGCCATTCTCTCCTCGGGATTTTGGGCATGCGTGACATGTGTTCAGCATGAGTTGAAGCTGCTGAGTCTGGGACTCAAACTGAGGTCAACTACGTGGGAGTCCAGTGACATAACCATTATACCATCCACTGGTCCCAAAGGGCAGGTATTTTTTAATTCATCCTTTCACTTTAGTTATAGCTCTTTCTAACTTTACATGGGAATTTTGCATCTAATTTACCACCTTGCATAGGCCTAGGGCTTCTGTGTCTGTTAAAACCCATCCTATAGGTTGTCAGAGATATAGTAGATGCCCTGAGGGTAGCAGATAGATTCAACCTTGCTTAAATCTTCAGATTCTTGCTCCTGCTTTTAGTTTGACCTCTGAGGATTTTCCTTTCTTTTTTTCAAGTTCAACCATAAATTTAAAAGTATTAAGAAATGTTTTTTTACTCAACACTTCTGATAGAATATTTTAACATGTTTTTCCTTCCAATCATTGACTAAATTTTTATTTTTTAATTATATATTAGAGGTATACCACGGCAATTTAGGTCTGGGAAGCATTTCTTAGGGTTTTGTTTGTGTCCATTCTCAGTATAGCCTAGAGTCCTGAGTATATCAGAACACTTGGCCTGAACCACCTTGGAAATTATTTGTCCATAGAACAGAACAAAGAGATTTACATGAAATAAAGAGAACTGAATGTACATTTTCAAATTTCCTGATATTGCCCATAATATCCTTTTGATAACATTACGTTTAACACAGACAGTGAAATGTAATTTGCAAATGATTAAGGCATGTTGAAAGAAATGGACTTTTCTTCTTCAGTGTGCTTTATCCAGTAACTTTTTTTCCAGTTTACCAAGCATTGGACAGAATCAAATGGTCTGGAATCTAAGTCATTAACTCCAGTATTATGTAGAACATCTGCAAATAAATCGAAGAACAAAGAGAATGTATATACTCCCAAGTCTGCTGTAAAGAATGAAGAGGACTTTGTATTTCCTGAGCCAAAGACTCCAGTTAATAAGAACCTGCATAAAAGAGAGAGACTCACTACTCCAAATCATTACACTACACCCTCAAAAGGTATTTGCTAAGTGAACTAAGCAGTGGTAAACAGCTTCAAATGTCTTGTCTTTTTTTTCCCCCCATGTTAAATAAATATATGCAGATCAGAAATTGCTAGTATTGGGCTGGCCCAGTTCCGCAGTGGTTAAGTACTGTGCATCGGGAGCCAAATCCCACATGGCTAACTGCAGTTTGAATCCTGCAGTTTGGCCCTGGTGGTTTGAAAAACACATTGCGTGTGTGTGTGTTTGTGTGTACCCGTGTCAAAAATCCTGAATGGAAAGAGACATGGAAGAAAAAGGATTGCAGTATGATGGTGCCCTGTTGGGGTGTGCTTCCTTCTCCATCCCCTATGAGCATATATACCTTCTGGCAACAAGGAAAAACAAAACAAAACAACACCTAGTGATTCCTTTACTACTGTAGAGTGCTTTTAAAAAAAAAAAAAAATTCACAGAGAGCACATGTGCTTACCAGAGACAGACAGAGAACGAGGGAAGATGAGAAAGCACGTGCAATGGGGAATAGTCATACCATAATTCCTTCTCCGTTTCTCCCTCCTGTTGGGATATTTGAACAGGTACGCACATGTGCCCAGGTTGTTTCTCAGGCCACCAGCTTCAAAACTTGAACTGCACAGTTGGCCATGGGGGATCCATTAGCCTTAACTACCATGCCGTGGACTATAGCGTGCTTTTTTTTTTTTAAAGAAAAAAGAAATTACTAACATTTTCAGGATTTTCTGCAAATAAATTTTTTTTATCATCTTTTGTTTGCATTAGTTGAAATGAAAGTATATATTTAATCAATTTCTGATTTTTTTCTTAAATGATAATTAAGCTTTTCTTTTTTTTTTTCCACTTAATAGCTTTAATTATAGCATGATAGACTATCAAAACTAGAAGGCAGGACTGACTCTAGCATAGTGATTAAGTGCTATGCAGAGGAAGCTAGATCCCACATGACTGATTAAGGTTCAAGTCCTAGCCTTGGCACTTTAAAGAACATGCTGGGGGGCTAACAGTTGGTGTAATGGCTACATTGCTGGACTCCCAAGTAGTTGACCACAGTTCGAGTCCTGGACCTGGTGGCTTAAACTCACGCCGGGCACATGTGCACGCATGTTCAAGATCCCAAGATCTGGCCTTTGAATCTCCTCCGCACCCTGTTGTCAATATCTCTGGGTTTCCGCCAGTTGCACTTAATTTTGACGTATCAGTCTGACTGGTGCTGAATGAACTTCTTGGTCTTCTTTTTGACGATCTTGGGCTTCATAAGGGGTTTGAGGGCAGCTACAATGGCGGGTAGATGGCCACCACCTCGACAGGCAGCATTGAGGAAGAGAGAAGGAAGCCCAGTTATCTCTACTTCTGATGACACAAGCCAGAGTCCTTCCTACTCATCAGAACCTCTAGTTCTGTCCTGTTGTATTGCCCTTACCTAGTAGACAGAGGACATCTTTGATGCCCTTCTAGATATCTCTGTGCATATGTCACAACTCTCATTCCCTTGGTTTCTTCTTCAATTAATTATCACCAGTTGTTTAAATTGTTTCATTTATGATATGTCACTGTTTTAATTGCTGACCTCATCTAGACACATTGTCGGTGTGCCTCTTAAAATATAGCATGGCGTGGGGCTGGCAGGTGGCATGGTGGTTAAGGGCACTGGGCTCCCATGTGGACAACTGAGGTTGGAGTACTAGACCTGGCGACTTGCTTTCTCACTTACTCTCTCTTCCTGTCTGTCCCTCTCTGGTCAAATTAAAAATAAAAATAAATAAATAAAATTAAATAAAATAATTCTTTAATGAAATACATGCATACACATCCAGCACGGTGCAAAGGAATTCAGAACCCATGTGGCCAACTGGGGTTCAAGATTCGGCCTCGTCAACTTGGAAAACACCAGGATGTTGACTTAATGGAGATTTGGAGAAAAAAAGGATTGCAGCATTATTAGGCCTTGTTGGTGTGCCTATGATTGCTATGATAATATCTGCACACAGTAGGACCTCAACAGTAGCTGTTGTTTTATCTTTTCCCTATGTGTGTGTGTGGGGGGTCCCTTTTTCTTTTGCTACTTCTCTTAAAATAACTATAGGGTTCTTTGAATTTAGGAGTCAGACAGGGAGATAAGATGACCATAGCTCACCTTAGCTTATTCAGGGTTTATGTTTTGTTTTAAACCTTTCAATTATATAGTTCCTTCTTTTGTTGATATTTTTAATATTTTTTAAAAAAGATTTTTGTTATAGGATGTGTGCACTTACCAGGCAGAGAGACAGAGAGAAAGTGAGAAATTGTCTCCAATGGGGCATGGCCATGCTGCAGTTCCCTCTCCTCTGTTTTCTTGGTATTATAGGGGATGCATACACATGTACCCAGTGTGTTTTTCAAGCTGCTGGGTCCAGGACTTGAAAAATGCAATCAGCCAATGTGGGAGCCAGTGCCTTAACCACCATGCCACCTGCTGACCTGGTATTTTTTAATTTTTTATATATTTTTGAGAGTTTTGAAATATGGATAACTTGGAATTTATTTTATAATCTTGAAGTATCATTCGTTTACATATCTTGTCCCTGTGAAATAGTGTTGGTCAAAAGCTATTATCAGCCATTTTTCTTTAAATATAAGAGCTGCCTAAGGGAGCAAGTGGCTGAAGCCACAATTGATAGCTTCTATTAGTGCATTTTACCTTCTCTGTTAGTTATTTTTGACATAAACATTCATTTCATTTTTGTAACTCTTGTACAGTCCAGTCAGTGACCATTTATTGAAGGACAACTATATATGGTAGTAGATGCTCTCGATATACCAAGATGAAAACAGTTTTCACAGACATTTTCGATTGCTCTTATTTTCTTGTTGTGGAACTGGTGACAATAGAACTTAGTAGTCATAAACAAAATCAAACCAGCAGTCTCTCTTTAAAAATTGGACATATCTTTGTTCCTATAAAGAGAGTTATTCTCTCTAAATATATACAACTTTTAGATCATGAATAGAAAGTCAAATAGGGACCAGCAGTTGGCGTAATGGTTATGTCGCTGGACTCCCATGTACTCGACCATGGTTTAAATCCCGGACCCGGTGGCTTAAACTCATGCCGGGTGCATGTGCGTGCGTGACCAAGATCCTGAGAGGAGAATGGAGGAGAAGGGATAGTGGTGTGGCCATCCCCCCAGGGGGTGACTTCTCACTTTCTGTCTCTGTCTCGTTCTGGCGAGTGCACATGCCCTATAGCAAAAACCTCTCAAAAAAAAAAAAATTCTGCGGAGTCCCAGTCCCCATAGGCAAAAACCTCCCAAAAAAAAAAAAAAAAAAAAAAGTAAAATAAGTGGTAACCAGCTTGGTTAATTAGGTTTATTAGATTTGTTAACCAGATTTATTACAAACTAGAATGCACACACCCTACCCAGAATTAAACAAAACATCCTGGAACAGGGACTATAAAAAATAACCAAAGCTCACAACTCTTAATAACTTTTGTGAAGCCTATATAGGGTTTGATTTCTTTGTCTAATGGAAGTCGAATAGGACTGTGAATTGAATTAACACCTTTCAATATTGTATCAATTAAAGGCATAAATTGAGCCTGTATAAATATAGATTGGCTTTTTATTTATAGAAGGAAGAATCAGTAATAATGAAGTCTTTATCACATGCTATTTGCAATGAAATCATAAGCCTGACCTCAGTTTGCAATGAAGAAAAAGCCTCACATGCAAAGGCAAATGAGTTTGTTTTTATTATAAATCATATGGATACATTTCTTTAAAGAATTAGAGCTTGTAATATCACTGGCCAAGTGAGTATAATATTCCAATACATATTTTAATGAGTCAGTGAATGAGGTGATATATTCATTGCTGATAGAAATTTCAGAATTGTAGCATGTCAGCTAAGTATGGTGTGTGTTTGTTGTTTTTCTAATAGCTAGAAACCAGTGCCTGAAAGAAACCCCCGTTAAAACACCAGTACATTTAGCAGGAGCAAACAAGTTAATGACAGGTGTCATTAGCCCTGAGAGACGGTAAGTGTTCAGTTTTCTAGATTCTTTGATCTTTAGTATATGTACCCAGATTTCTTTTTCTGTATATGATAAACCTGATTTAGGTGAGCCATCATGTAAGCTCTGTTGGAGATGGAAAGACTGTTTGTATGAGGATGGTCTGTGGCCATTATAGGAATTGCGACCATTGCCTTCCTCATGAGGTAGCAGCATGAAACTGATCACCATCAGGATTGGCATATTAACTTAAAAGTGCTGCAGACTGGCAAGACAGTGGCCTTGTCCCCAGCCATGGAGTTCCCTGTCTGAGGCCCATCTTTCTCTGCTCTTCTTCCAGTAGAGAGTAGACATCCAGGGACCAGCAGTTAGCGTAATGGCTATGTCGCCGAATTCCCATGTAGTTGACTGCGGTTCAAGTCCTGACCCAGCGGCTTAAATTCATGCCGGGTGTGTGTGCATGCATGCCCAAGATCCTGAGAGGAGAATGGAGGAGAAGGGATTGCGGCATGGCCATCCCCCCCGCCCAGGGATGATTTCCAACAGATAGTGCCCCCCAGTTGTAAACATACTACCGTTTCAAAGAAAACCCACTTCTTTTATATAAAAAGTTCTGCAACACAGGTGGCCATTATTTTTCATCACTATTTTCTTAAAGCATGATTTATTTGTGGAAACCAGAATGTGAATTGGGTATTAGATAATACTATGAAATTATTAATTGTCTCAATGTACCAATGGCATTGTGGTTCTATAAGAAAATATTCATTGGAGAAGTGTACTGAAGTGTTTCAGAGTGAAGTGTAACTATATCTTCAGATGGGTTACTTTCAAATGACTTAGCTAATTCATACATATATTGAATGTTTATATTATCTACAAGGGAGATCAGAAAATTCATAGATACTGTGTATTATGACAAATCATGCATGCATCTCAAACTATTTTTGCACCAAAATATACTTGTACTTTAATTCCATTTTCCCAGGAGCTTTTTGAAGCTTCCTCATATATATAAGTCTCCTTGTACATAGAGAAAATGTATGGCAAAATATTCACAGGTGTTGAATCTAGGATATGTGTGTGTTCATTGTACTATTCTTTCAATGTTTCTGTATATTTTATGTTTAAAAAGGGGGAGAGAATAGTTTTATTAGATGGCAGATGGCTGGGAGGACAGGCGATGGCTCCTCTCTGTGGGACCCACCAGCAAAAGACCCAGGTCTACTTATACTTCATTTCTCTCTTTAAGGTGCCACTCAGTGGAGCTGGATCTCAACCTAGCACATTTGGAGGATACTCCAAAGAGAAGAGGAACCAAAGTGTTTGGGAGCCTTGAAAGAGGATTGGATAAGGTTATCACTGTGTTAACCAGAAGCAAAAGGAAGGGCTCTGCCAAAGACGGGCCCAGAAGGTTAAAGGTAGGTGGATTCGAGTTATTTAGCATGGGTTTCAGAAGCTGACTGCTAACTGGACTTTTATTTCTTTTCTTAAGTACTGAATGAAATGGTTAGTACTTCTTATACCTACTCATTTGGTTAATATATATTTTCAAACAGCTCAAGTATGCATGTTACTGTGCAGTGGACTTTGTGATTGTGTAGATAAATTAGATACAGCTACTCCATTTCAAGGAGCAAATAACAGTAATTCATATATTCAAGATCATTTTCATCATGGAGGTGGAGAAGCAGAGAGCCTATGTAGGAACCTGAGGGCTGTCTTAAGGATAACAGCTAGAGCTCAGTCATCATTTTTCTGATACATAGAGTCTGGTACACCGGAGGGCCTACCTTTATACGCCCTCATGAAATATTTGAATGCATAGAAGTTGATTTGAACTTTGAGTGCGGTGTATGTGAGGAAACTAGTAAGTGGCAGGCTGGGAAGTTAGACTGGGAGGTCTTCAGAGGCCTAAGAGGTTTGGAAATCATTCAGTAGACTTGTTATGCTATAAAAGGGTTAATGCATCAGTGAGATGGGCATTATATTTGGAGGGGGGAGGAAGCAAAAATAAGTTTTAGTAGATACCCTCTTGGATTCCCTCTGAACATTTATTTAAACATCTAATGAATGACATTTTAAAAAGTTTATTTTTATAAAACAGTGAGAGGAGGCGATAAAGAGTAAGAACTAAGTGTTATTTTATTTATTTATATCTTTCTTGAAAGAGAAAGACAGCAAGAGAGAGAGCGCGTGTACCCCCAAAGGTGTCCTGATACTACAATTCCCCTTGAGCCTTCAGCCAGCCCTAGATCATAGGAACCATGTGCCTGACATACTTAGGGATGTCCCCAGATCTGAACCAGGAACTTCCCCATGTAATACTGCCCATTTAATACTTCCCCATGTCATACTGCCTCACACAGTGTTGGACTTTACCAACTAGACCACCTATCTGGCCCCATAAGAAATAGGTTTTATTTTGTTTTGTTTTGTTTTGAGAGGTTTTTCACTATAGGGCCTGTGGCTTGCCAGACAGACAGAGACAGAGAGACAGAAAGTGAGAAATCACCCCCCAGGAGGGAAGGCCATGCTGCAATCCCTTCTCCTCCAACCAGGAACTTCCCCATGTAATACTGCCCATTTAATACTTCCCCATGTCATACTGCCTCACACAGTGTTGGACTTTACCAACTAGACCACCTATCTGGCCCCATAAGAAATAGGTTTTATTTTGTTTTGTTTTGTTTTGAGAGGTTTTTCACTATAGGGCCTGTGGCTTGCCAGACAGACAGAGACAGAAAGTGAGAAATCACCCCCCAGGAGGGAAGGCCATGCTGCAATCCCTTCTCCTCCATTCTCCTCTCGGGATCTTGGGCACACAGGCACATGCACCCGGCATAAGTTTTAAGCCACCGGGTCCGGGATGCGAACCGCGGTCGACTACGTGGGAGTCCAGTGACATAGCCATTACACTAACTGCTGGTCCCAGAAAGAGGTATTTTTTGATAGGGTCCCATGTTGTGATTTTTCTGCCCCACCCTCCCAGTTAGCTAGGATCACAGCTGCATACCACCACACCAGGCTTATTTCGGTTGGGCCAGAACTGAATGTGGACCTTCCATGTGGCCTTAGCCACTAGCTGCAGTGCCTTAATGTTATAATCAGACAATGTTTTTGTTTGGTGGAAATGGAAGAAGTAAGAGGAAATGGGTTCAATAAAACGCAGTTCATGTCTTTGAAGAACTCGTAGAGTGCTAGCGCAAACAGACTGAGATGCTTGGGGCTCAGCGTTGTAATATCATCTTCTAAGAAGTGTGGTGCCCAGAGGAAGGAGGAGAAACTGGTGGTGTTCCCGTGATTTGGAGACTGGGTCTGTGTGTAGTTTTTACACTGACACCTCACATTGAGCAGTTCTGGGTGGTTTTGGGGAAAGAAAATGTTGAGCTGTTGGCAGAATGGTTCTTCAGAAGAGAATGTTCTGAGATCCTGGTTATTTCTGATATCAAAGTTGAAGATAAGGACTTACCCATTAGTATTCATTGTCTTGTTAAATTTATGCAGTGCTCCAAGAAGATTTATGTTACACATAACTATTTATTAGCCATATTCTATTCTCTTATTCTGAATTTCTCTAGTTGGAGATAGTTATGGAGTATTTCAAATCCTAACACTGGCATTAAGAAAACCATAGTGCCATTTCACTGGACATTAAATAGATAGGATATATATATATATTTTTTTTTTTTTTGCCTTTTCTTTCTTTTTTTTTCTTTCATTTATTTATTTTTACATTTTTCCACAAACATTTACTTTACATAGCAACAAATTTTAGCTCATACGCCAAATAGATAGGATTAAAGAAACTTGTCTGTGCATGTTATAGATGAAGCTTAAGCAGTTATCACATACTAATGGATAATGTTTTCAAAATGTTCACCTCTGTAAATTGCGTGGAACCTGAATGCATTTTTCAATAAAACCTGCTGTGGTATTAGTTTACTTCTAGGTAGTGTTTCTAGGACATACGAGAAAATCCATAAGCTTGGGGATTAGAAATATGGGTTCTAGCTCCAGCTTGGTACTAAAGCTTGGATAAGTCATTTTATCCTTGACTTCTTCAGTTTCTTCCATTGTAAACTCTGGAGATATTGCCTACTTTGGCAACCTCATAGAGCCAGGAAATAGAAACAATACTCTGTATAGGATGCCACATTGCATATGAAATGTTAAATTACTGTAACATTCTCCAATGTCAAGGATCATTATTATCAGTGTAGAGCATTTTAATCCTGTTGTAGCCAAACCATAGACCTAATTAGCACACACCTAGGGTCTGAAACATAATTTAACTTTGGATTTGTAACCCTTTCAATTTTTTGCCCTTTTTTTTTTTTTTAATTGCTAAGAGATGGAGGGTGTTTGTTCACCAGAGATAGAAAGAGAGGGCAAGGGAGAAAGCACCCCTGAATGGGGTGTGGGCATGCCATAATCCTTTCTTAATTTCTCCATCCTGTTGGGATTTTGGACATGCACACATGTATGTCCAGCATGATTTTTCAAGCCGCTGGGGCTGGGATTTGAGCCACAGTCAGCCATGTGAGGTCTGGTTCCCTTTCTCACTATACCACACGTTAACTTTTTTGAATGCATTAGCTTTTTTTTAGAAATGAAGAAACTGCTATAAGAAATTAAGACTCTCTTCCACCAACTTATTAAAAATTATAAACTTACAGAAAAGTTGAGAGAGTAGTACACAGAACACCATAGTTTTTTTCAAGATTGCAAAGCATATGTAGTTTAAGCCCTTTTTTAGGACACAGTCTATAAAAATCTGAAATTTAAATAGATAAATTAGGATTAAGTTTTTATTTTATAAAAACTTTTCATTATAATTTGAAAGTGTTTCATTTATTGTTCCATTTATTATTATCTTGACAGAAATAATTTAGTAAGGTGAAAAGAACCCTGGGTTAGAAGAAGACAGGACACAGAAGGACCCATTATAGCTGTGCCATTTGTTCTCTTTGAAACTTGAAGCTGGAATCCTCAGACTTCAGAATGTTTGCCATGTTGAGTGTATCATCTACACAGTTATTTATCTGATATTTTCTTTATATTGACTCTCATTTAAACAATAAGATTATAAAGGTGTAATGAGCATATAATAAACTGCACTATTAAAAATGTATAATTCATATGCTGTGGCATTGTATATGCATCTATGAAGCTGTTATCACAGTCAAGATTACTAACCTTTTTTAAATTTATATTTATTTAAAAAGAAGCCATAGAACATTCATTTTGGCAAATTATAATTTTCCGAGTCAGATTGGAACAAATACATAGTATTAAGATAAGTAAGTAAGTCTCCATTGATAACTTATATTATGCAATAGGAAACATTTCTTACATTAAGAAATCTGAATCTTTTCTGAATCTTTTCTTATTATTGAGAAGTAAGATCCATGAGTCTTTTTCTACCTCGGCATTTTTGTTATTTATAAAATGAACTCAAATCTGGGGCCAGCCTGTGACTTGGTGATTAAGACAGCTGGATCCCACATGGCTGACTATATACTTTGAGTCTCTGACCTGATGGCTTGAGAAACACACTAGGTATGTGGGTGTGGGTGCCCATAATACTCAAAGGAAGGAGAAATGGAGGGGAAGGGATTCAGGCATGACCATGCCCTCTGGGTTATGCTTTCTTACTCTTCCCACTTCCCTCACTGGCAAGCACATATAATCTCTGGCAAATTTAAAAAGAAAAAGAAAAAAAGGAACTCAACACTGAAAGACATATAAGTTTTTTATTGGTTTTGTTTTGTTTTTGGAGAGGTTTTTGCTATAGGGCAGGTGCACTCACCAGAAAGAGAAAGAGAGAGACAGAAAATGAGAAATCACCCCCCAGGGGGGATGGCCACGGTACAATCCCTTCTCCTCCATTCTCCTCTCATGATCTTGGGCACGCACGCACGTGCACCCGGCGTACCCGGCGTGAGTTTAAGCCACTGGGTCTGGGACTCGAACCACAGTCGGCTACATGGGAGTTCAGCGACATAGCCATTACTCTAACTGCTGGTCCCTTTTTCTTTTTTTTGAAAGACATAGAAGTTTTAATTTCGACAGTAGAGGAGGAACTACTAGGAAGGTAGGGGTTTTTGTCTTTGTCCAGGACCTACTGAAACAATGGCTGGCACATACCAAGCATCCATTTAGTAGTTGTTGAATGAATATATAGATACAAATTAGGAATGAGATTATCTTTTAGAGTTGGGTTCTCAGTCAATGAGAAAAAAATAACATCACGTTACCTTTTTAAAGGGATATCTGTTAAATTTGTTCTGTTCTAGAATTGTCATTGAACCAACCCCTGGAATTTTGTAATATTTCTTAAATAACCCAGAAAAAAATTAAAGAAATACATCCAACTACAGTTATGCATTGCTTAAGAACAGGGATGCATTCTGAGAAATGTTTGTTAGACAATGTAATCATTGTGTGAACATCATAGAGTATACTTATGTGGGGTACCTAAGTGTCCCATGTGGGAACATTGTCATATAAGCAGTCTGTCATTGACTGAAATGTCATTATGAGGCCCATGATTATATATATAAAAAGGAAACTTGAGGAGGCATTCGTTTCATCTCCCCACGGTTTACAGTTCAGGGATCATCCTGTGGGAAGGGAGACTTGGTAAAGTTCAAACAGATAGATTGTTGATATTCGTTCCTTAACTAAATTGGTAGGAGAAGAATGTGTGAAATGTCTGATATGGGTGTAGTTAGTAATCAATATCATTTTCTAAGCTTTCTCAGCACCATCTAAATTTGAATTACTAAGAGTGGACTGAATTCTCTTAGTCCTTTTCTCAAAATATTTCCATTTGAAATGATGCTATATATATATATATATATTTTTTTTTTTTTTGGAGAGATTTTCGCTGTAGGGCGCGTGCGCTCGCCAGACAGACAGAGACAGACATAGAGACAGAAAGCGAG